GTATGTTTAGAATGAATGCAGGAGCTCAGTCCTGGGGGTTATCTTGAAACTCCAATGGTCTTTCATTCTCAAGTAAAGAGGATTAATCCATGTCGTGAGGAGTAGTAGGATGTCTTAGTCTTGGGGGCTTCCAGTATGCTCCAAGGCGTGGTACAGACTAACCCGTGAGTGTGGTAGGGTGAAACCCATTGGTAATTGTTTCGCAAAGTAGTAGAAGCCACCATGAGTGCACGACACGCCATAGCTCGGCAATCATTCTAAGTCCGGACAGTAAAAGTCAGTGTAGTGTCATGTATGAAGATTTTATGTGATGTGAATATGTATGAAACTTAGTAACTGAATATATGATTAATCTTGTTTAAACTAGCTTACCCTGTTGTGTGTTTGTGTTTTGTATGTATTTGTGTTATTTCTTCTGCAATGATCATCTTATGGATGTGAGCAAAGGGAGATAAGGTATCCTGGAGCAGGCATTGGATGGAAGTGATATGCTGCGGAGTAGTTAGTTTAGTTGAATCTTGTAGATAGTTTTGAGTATCTTAATGTACACATATAAAGTTTTAAATTTATAGTTGTTTTTTGATAATTATAAAGAGATTACTTTATATTCTAGATAGACAACTGTTCTACCTTATCATGTATGTAATGAGTCTCTTTTATAGTTTATACTATATTTTGGGATGTTACAATGAATATTACCGACACAAATAATATAAAAAAGTGATGAAAAATGTTTTAGAACAGTAAAATCGTATGTAATTTTTTTTAGTAAAATTTATAGAAATTTTTTCACTAGACATCCCTAATATTATTTTATGTACTTTTATATATGAAAAAAAAATTAGCAAATTTAAATTATATTTTAATAAAATATTCAAAAACTCAATAATTTAAAAAAAAAAATCGTACATAGTTGAATAGAAAATTTGTAAAATTTCCTAAGATCAGTACAAGATATTAAAGTAATTATTTCAATTTCTTGTTTCCAATTTTCACACTCAAAATTTTCAATGTTACAGTACAAACCAACATTTAAATAAAAAAATATTGATATTATGTAATCTTCCTAAAATATTTCCTATTAATGTCATTCCAGGTCACTTTACCAGCAGAAGGCGGAAAAGAAGCCCGCCATGTGAAAATTCTCTTCAATTCCTAGACAAACCCTAAATCACACTGTACCTTTGAATTTGGAACCAAAACGAAATCTCTAAATTTTCAGTAACGCCAAATCTCAAAATTTTCAGACACACTGATTCATTTTCGTTTTATTTTTCGGACCCTCCTTGTCTTCTCTATCCATTATACATAAACATGGCAACCATCTTTCTTCTGCACCCAAGACTTCAATCCCATCTTCTTTCATCTGTGCGTTCTTTCCCTCTCTTCCAAATTCACATCACAGAAGGAACAAAAGATGGAGACTCGTGCCGCCTCAAAGAGAAAGGCAAATGCTATGGTCTTGGTCCAAAAACAACACCCCAAAAGGCATAGGGTTTCTTTGGTTCAAGATCCTCCCAAAGAGAAATTGCAAGGTGTGAAGAATCCCAATGCAAAGAAGCAATCTTCCACAATCCACCACTCTTCTTCCCCCCATACTGATGAATCCCTCTTTTCCCATGTCTATGAGTATCTTCATGAAATGGAGATGCAGAAAAAGAGGAGACCAACTGTTGACTACATTGAGAAAGTTCAGAAATTGTTTACACCAACCATGAGAGCAATCTTGGTGGATTGGTTAGTAGAAGTGGGTGAGGAGTACAAGCTTCTTCCAGACACTCTTCATCTCTCAGTTTCGTACATTGATAGATTTTTATCGGTTAATCCGGTGAATAAATCCAGACTTCAGTTGCTGGGTGTTTCCTCCATGCTTATTGCATCCAAATACGAGGAAATTGACCCACCTTGTGTGAATGATTTTTGCAGCATCACTGATTACACATATGACAAGGCAGAGGTTGTGAAGATGGAAGCTGACATACTGCAGTCACTAAAGTTTGAAATGGGAAATCCTACTGTGAACACTTTTCTCAGAAGGTTTGCTGATAACGAAATGACTCCAAATTCACAGAGTGAATTTCTGGGCCGCTATCTTGCTGAGTTAAGTTTGTTGGATTATGATTGTTTGAAATTTTTGCCTTCGGTTGTAGCAGCATCTGCTGTATTTCTTTCTAGATTTATTATCTCGCCTGAAGTGCATCCATGGACTCCTTCTTTGAGTGAATGTTCTGGTTACAAATCAGCCGAATTGAAAGAATGTGTCTTAATTTTGCATGACCTGTACTTGTTACGAAAGGCAGCATCTTTCAAAGCTGTCCGGGATAAGTACAAGCAGCAAAAGTTCAAATGCGTTGGAAACCTGCCTTCCCCTCCTTATGTACCCAATTGTTACTTTGAAGACCAGTGATGTAGCAAATTTTGTGATGAATTATCTCTTAAGTCATGTTTGATAAAGCACATGGTTTGATCATTATTTGAACAGGCCTGACTTTAGAATTTTGATGCATAGATTTGTCTTTAAATTGCAAGAGTGAGCAGTGAAGATATCAATGTTCAATGTTCAATTAACATATCTTAGATTGTAGAGCTTCTTGGTCATCATTGAGGCCTTGAAGGAAACACAGCAGGCAATCATGATGGTCACTGTCGAAAAATTATGTCTGATGGTTGCAATCTAGGGAAAAACTTTGTGCTTCAACCAATAAAGAACGAGGCTTTTACTGTGCTTCAAGACAGCAAACCAGGGGTGTTTATCTTGGGATTTAAGGATGTTGTCATCAATAAATTTGAATTTCGTTCATCATCTGTCAAGCTTGTTGTTGTAAACATAACTGAATAACTGACTTATGTCAGACAGTTACTGGGTGCCATGCACACTCTATATACTTCACTGTTTTTGATTCTTTCAATACAGTTAATATTCCCCACTCTCTCTGTGTGTGCTATCTCTGCTGTTTACAAGTTTCTTCTCTGCATACTGTTACGTTAACAAAGCTGTGGTCATGACGCGAAGGAATTTTAGATGCAGAGAAAGTAGGAAAGTAACATGAGAATTTTTGTCCAGAAAATCTTTCTGGTTTGTCGAAAATGTCCTATTATTTAGAGATATTTATTAATATTTGTTCTTTATGAATATTATATCAATACAAATAATACGAGAAAATGGTTGAAAAAATGCAACTACTTATTTCATCCATCTATTCTGAAGTTCTTAAGTTGATTTTTCTATCATTTTACTCTTCCAGTGAATTTATTCGAAAGAATAGATACAAAAGAAATTAAATTAATGTACTTCTACACATAGACTGATTAAAATAATTAAATAATAATAAGACAAATTCTTAACGAAACATGATATTAAGACCGAAAGAAAAAATGAATCAAAGAAAAGAGTCTATTCAATCATAATTGTTCGTGCAAACCTCAAAGAACAACTTTTTATTGTGACAAAGAAAGGAAAATGCTATTTTTGTGCCTAGTGCACTAACCTATTAAAGATTCTCTCTCCATGATTTGAGTATCTAAAATTAGCTTTTGTTCTTTTACATAATATTTCAACATTCACAAACTTTTCCATAATAAATTTCTAGGAACGAAAAAAATCTATAGATTAAAATTAGACTATATAAATTAAGCTTTTAAAGTATAAAATAATTTCAATAAATTAATTTATAAAATTTTAAATAATTTTATTTTTCCTTTTTTTAAATCTTACAGAAATTTTGTGAAACAGCACTAAGAAAAGGAACAAATCTTATTTAACATGTATCCGCCATGTCTGTAGAATACTAATATGACAAGAACAGTACCGCATGTTCAGTAAATTGTCTTAACACAATAATATGATACTGTACTTATGACAGCATGAATTCTAGAGTTAAATATTTATAAGTAAAGGTCATTTTGTCTGTCACGGCTATTCTAAGTTTTTTATACGTGACAGTAACTTACCTGATGACTGATTTTCCAAACCATAGAGAAGTTATGCAACACACTTCATTTACGTAATCAGATGATATAAGAGACAAGTACCTCGATGACAGCAGCCAAAGACCTCAACTAGTATTATTATTTTAAGGAAAATGAAAGTCAGTCCATGATTTATACAGGACAAAATTCCACAATAAACTATTTCTTAGTAAAACATTGTATTATATGTTAGATAATAAATTTCAGATACCCTAACACCACATGTTACAGAACTTTCCCATTCTGCAGATAATCGACCACTAAGGAATCTTAAACCTTGTTCTAGTTTCTTAAAGTTTGCTAAATGGCCAACGAAGAACATGATCTCCCTCTCTATGAAAAAGTTTGGCTCAAACGAACATTTCAAAGAGTGATAGACACCTTGATTTTATTCCTCCTCCTCTTACTTCTTAGTAATCGAGTTTTCGCATCCCACAACTTCAGTTTCCCATGGTTACTTGCTTTCATATGCGAATCCTGGTTCACCTTCACTTGGATTGTCATTCTCAACACCAAGTGGAGTCCTGCAGTGACCATAACCCACCCAGATCGTCTCTTGCAAAGGTATATAATAACATACAGCAACTGATTTCTGTTTTCAGTCCAGTTTCCTATTCTGATGGACTTTTTCCCTTCTTCAAGTACTTCCAAAAGTTGCAAGTTTGTAAATGCTTATTCTTGGTTTTTAGTGCTATTCATGTGATTACTATTTATGTACTTGTAATTTAATGTTTTTAATCTCAATAGGGTTCAGGAGCTTCCACCGGTGGACTTGTTTGTTACAACAGCAGACCCTGTACTTGAATCCCCTATCATCACAGTCAACACTGTTTTATCTCTTCTAGCTCTTGATTATCCTGCTAACAAGCTAGCTTGCTATGTTTCTGATGATGGCTGCTCCCCTCTTACTTTCTATGCCCTTCTGGAAGCCTCCAAATTTGCTAAGTTTTGGGTTCCTTTCTGTAAGAAGCATAACGTACAAGTGAGAGCACCCTTTAGATACTACTCTGATGTTACAATAAACAATAACGAAGACTCGCTTGAATTCAAACAAGAATGGTTACAAGTGAAGGTGAGTACAACAACCTCGCCCTGCATTATTAAAATTCCAAACTAGTCTTCTAACTCCTCCACACATTCATAATAATTAGATAAGCACCGAATATAAGGACAAATGAAATTTGGAGATGTACAATATGTTTGAACTTTTTTGTCTTTTTGTATTTTGCAGGAGATGTACGACAATCTAAGCCGAACAATTGAAGAGGTGACACACAAAACAACTCCATTCCAACTTGATGGAGAATTTGCGATTTTCTCGAATACAGAACAAAGAAATCATCCAAGCATAGTTAAGGTAACAGAAATATCATGATTCCTTAATGGGTCGAGCGACTACATAGAAATTAAACACAAATGATTTTGGCTACCTTAATTTCTAAATTCTAGAGTACGAACATGTCAGAAGTGTTATCTTCCCATAAATATATGCACCTCACCGTTTCTTTTCTTTCCTTTACACTTTCCATTTTACTTCTTTTCTATTTATTTCTTGCCAAATTTCTAGACAGTCAAATTAGAAGATGAAAAAGTAAATCTTCCATTGTACGAACATGTTACTTCTTCGTTCGTTGAAACAGCAAAGTTTACATACATCTTTCCAATATCTGTTCCAATCGAAGTTATGGTGCTTACACGTCTAAAGAACAAGAAAGCACTTATTTACATGACATATGAACAGGTTATATTAGAAAACAAGGAAGGTCTTTTTGATGGATTGCCTCACTTAATCTATGTATCAAGAGAGAAGAGACCACAGTACCATCATAATTACAAAGCGGGAGCTATGAATGTCTTGGTAAGTTTGTTAACTGATGTATGGTTCTTGGAATTTCGAGTCTCATTCTTTCTATTTAACCATTGATTTAATTTGAATCAATAACTCATATGTGCAGACAAGAGTGTCTGGATTGATGAGCAATGCTCCCTTTATGTTGAACGTAGACTGTGACATGGTTGTGAACAATCCCAAGATTGTTCTACACGCTCTGTGCATTTTGATGGATTCACAAAAAGGGAAAGACGTTGCTTTCGTTCAATGTTTCCAACAATTCTACGATGGAATAAAAGATGACCCTTTTGGAAATCAATGGGTGGCTGCATTTGAGGTGTTTTTCAGCCTTAAATGAAGTTCTAAGTTTACACTTCACCAGTGAAATTTATGAACCAAAGAACTTTTTAAACTAATATTTTCTTGTTTTTGTCTCTTGCAGTACATAATACGAGGCATGGCTGGACTTCAAGGACCTTTCTATGGAGGAACAAACACCTTCCATAGAAGAAACACTATTTACGGTCTCTATCCTCATGAAATTGAAACCGAGATAAAAGGTCTTACCCAAATGCACGAAATTTCTTATTCTTAAATACTGCACCACTTCGTGTTTATTATTTTGTATCTTCAGCAGGAAAATTAGAAGAAGATATACTAATACAACAATTTGGAAGCTCAAAGGAGTTCATCAATTCAGCAGCCCATGCTTCGGGAGGGAGTGTATATTCAGCTAATGATATTACTCCTTCCAACTTTATTGAGGCAGCAACCCAAGTTGCGAATTGTGACTATGAATGTGGCACTTTCTGGGGTAAAAAGGTACTCAACAGAAACAAAAATATACTTTTTAGACTATAGTAAACCATTTCTTGCAAAAGTGCAGTTTTGTTAATTAGCTTTGACAATTTTGGAAACTCTAGTTGGGCTGGTTGTATGGATCAATCTCAGAAGATGTACCAACAGGGTTGAATATTCAAAGAAAAGGTTGGAGATCGGAGTGTTGCACCCCAGATCCAATTGCCTTTCAAGGATGTGCTCCCAGAGGATTACTCTCTACAGTTATACAACAAAAGAGATGGGGTTCAGGCCTTACTGTAGTCTTTTTTGGGAAGCATTCTCCTCTTGTGTGCATGCTCTTTGGTAAGGTCCAATTCAGAGCAGGCTTGTCTTATTTCTGGCTTACCAACTGGGGCTTACGTGGTGCATTCCTGGTTTGTTATGTTGCTCTAATTGCATATTGCATGATAGCCAACACCAGTATCTTTCCTCAGGTTTGATTCAAATTCCAATGCAGTTTTAATGGCAAGGTTTTATTATATGCTATGCTAGACAATACAAAGGATTCTTAATTTTCTTTTTGTTTCAGGGACTTGTCCTCTGGATTGCAATTTCTGTTTTTGTGATTTACAATATACATACTCTATCAGAGTACCTCACAATTGGGTTATCTATAACACATTGGTGGAACAATCAAAGAATGTGTGTGATGAGAACCACAACTGCATGGTTTATTGGATTTTTGAGTGCTATGCTTAAGCTATCAAGGATTTCAGATACTGTGTTTGAAATAACAGAGAAGGAACACACTGCTTCTGGTGCTGATGGAAACAATGCAGATGCTGGAAGGTTCACGTTCGACGAGTCCCCAGTTTTTGTGGTAGGCAGCACCATTTTGTTGGTGCATTTGACAGCCATGTTGATAATGTTTTTGGGGTTGCAACCAACTCCTATTGGAAATGGGTGTGGAGTGGGGGAGTTGATTTGTAGTACATATCTGGTAGTGTGCTACTGGCCATATTTGAAAGGGTTGTTTAGCAGAGGAAAATACGGAATTCCCCTATCCACCATTTGCATGTCATCCGTGTTTGCATTAGTCTTTCTGCATTTTTGTACAAATAATATTATCACTTGATGAGTATAACTTTCTCTTTGATACGGATTTCATACTTCACTGAATAAGTCTATCAAAGGTTGTCTAGTTTCTACTTAGTGTATTATTAGGTACAAGTGTGTACTTAGTGTACTGTTTGGTTCAAAAGTCGTTTGGTTTTGATTTGTCTCAGTGGAAAAATCTGTACAACAACATTTCATTCGATTGGAGTGATTAGTGTCATAATTCAGTTACTTTTTCCCTTATAAATAGACACTAATGCAGGACAATGGATTAAGATTTAAGACTTGTGTCTATATGACTAATTTTTTTATTGACATTGATTAAGATTATTTTTCACTTAATGTCACTTAAAGTTATTTCTTAACAATTATTTTTTAATTGGTGTTAACTATAATAAATAAAGATTGATTGTCATGATTATTTTTTACCACTATTAATGGAATTATTCTTTAGTATATATCTATAAGATCTTTCAATTTAAAGTATGTAATATAATTTTTTTAACGATGCTTATAGATATTTTTCACTAGACATCACTATGTTATTTTATGACAATTTTTGTGTTTTTTACATATGATAATAACTTAAATATTTTATAAAAAATATTCAAATTTTATAAATTTAAACTATCTTTTAAATAAAATATTCTAAATTTTCATATATAGCGAAATAGAAAATTTGTAAAATTTCAAAATAAAATAAAAGATATGAAAATAATTATTTCGATTCCTTATACAATTTCAACACTCCAAATCTTCAATGCTCCAAACTAACCTTTAAAAAAAGTATTGATATTATTCACTCTTTTCTAAGATGCAATCTGCATAATATATGACTATAATCTTCCCAGAATATTTTCTCTAAATGTATAATTTTGTCGTACACAAGTTACAAACTTAATTTGTTCCAGATAAAAGAAAACATAACCGAACGGTTTACAAAAAGTCAAATACCGAACGGTCATTACTTACAGAAGAAAAGGTGACCGAACGACACCTTATACTAACTAAACTATACTACTAACCGAACGTACTACGGTTCGGCCTTCACTTCCACTTCTATCAGATTCTCTTCTTCCAGCGCATCCTCCAACAGCGCGTCTCCATCTGCTCACATCCACACGGATGATCATTGCAATGACAAGACGGACGTACAAGGACGAGACAACACAATAAAACACAGGGTAAGCTTATGTAATTTAATTCAAGTG